TTCTCTTCCTTCCTTCCTTCCTTCCTTCCTTCCTTCCTTCCTTCCTTCCTTCCTTCCTTCTTTCTTTTTCTCTTCTTTCTTTCTTTCTTTTCCTTTTCCTTAAGTTTATTTATTCCTTTCATTAATGAGAAAAGGAGAACCCCCAACAGGGCCTCGATGCCACGATCCTCCCAGTCTCCAACCAGCCCTGCACTGTGAGCGAGTGCATGCCCAGCATACTTAGGTGGGTCTCTGGACCTGAACTGTGAACTCTCACACGTGGCCTTGCCTCACAGAGCTTGCCCGTGACCATTGTGCTGGGCTGGCCTTTGCCTGGCCCATTACTAGGAGCCAAGGCTGGACCTGTGGCCTCTACAGCTCACCGTCCCGTGTCCCGTGGAGACAGCCTCAGCTCTTTTTGTTTGTTTGTTTTTGGAGAGGTTTTCGGTATAGGGCGCGTGCGCTCGCCAGACAGACAGAGACTGAGACAGAGAGATAGAAAGCGAGAAATCATCCCCCGGGGGGATGGCCACACCGCAATCCCTTCTTCTCCATTCTCCTCTCGGGATCTTGGGCACGCACGCACACGCGCCCGGCATGAGTTTTAAGCCACCGGGTCTGGGACGCGAACCACGGTTGACTACATGGGAGTCCAGCGACATAGCCATTACGCTAACTGCTGGTCCTGACAGCCTCAGCTCTTACTGTGTGTGTTTCATTCAGATACTGAGGGCCATGGTCAGACTTGGTCTAAAAAAGCTGGTGGGGCCAACAGGTGGCATGGTGCATCCCACATGGCCAACTCCATGGTTTGAGTCCTGGACCCAGCAGCTTAAAAAAAAAAAAAACAACACGCTGAGCATGTTTGTGTGCATGCCCCAAATCCTGAGAGTAGATTGGAGAAGGGGCTGTCTGTCTCTGTGTCTCTCCAGCCTGGCGAGCACATGTGCTCAATGGCAAAAATCTAAAGAAAACAGAAAAGAAAGACGGCGACATAGTTCAAATTCTATGGCGTCAGATCGTTCGGCTTACCTGTCACCAGACGGATTACATTTTTTTCTAAAAGTCATGAGATACCATAAATAGTTGATTTCCTCTATCAACCAAGGAATGGCGGAATATCCCGATATTACAGGGAGACTTTAACAAGTTTACAGAAAATGAGCATTTTGGTAAAACTAGGCATGGGTTTCCAAATTCTTTGCTCCAAAATAAATTCGAACTTCTAATTCTATTTGTCCATGACCTTTTGAGGCCTCCTGTACAGTCAGTTGCACACAGAGGCCAAGCCCTGCCGGGCCGTGGTGGCCGTGGAGTCTCCTCGCGGGGCTGCGTGGTCCTCCTCTGTCTCTAGCCCATCGCCTGCACTCTCTTTCCTCACAGAGACATCGTCACCCTGGTGGCTCAGGTGGTCCCCATCTACGCCGTGTCCCACCTCTTCGAAGGTCTTGCCGTAAGTCTCACGTGGGACCCTGAGCACTCAATGATCCGTGCATTTCCCCTGGGGGTGGTAAACAGCACCCTAGAGGTGGGCGGGGTCAGTCGTGATGTCGACTGTGGCTCGGAATAACCCTGTCACATGGCCGTGGGCTCCAGCCGCAGCTCCACGGAATGGCGTGCCCGGGAGAGAGGGGTCTTTCTTTTTCTTTCCTTTCCTCCTCGCTTCTCCTCTCCTCTCCTCTCTGTCTTTCTCCTCCCCTTCCCACCCCTTCCTTCCCCTTCCTTCCTCTCCTCTCCCCTCCCCTCCCCTCCCCTTCTCTCCCCTCCCTTCCTTTCCTCCCTTCCCCTTCTCTCCTCTCCTTCCGTCTTTCCTTTCTTAAAAGATTTTTATTTTTTATTTTAAGTATTTATTTTTTTAACCATAGGGCACAAGAGAGACAGAGACAGTGAAAGGGAAAGTGAGAAATCACCATCCCCAGGGAGGGGCCACACAGCAATAGCTTCTCCATTCTCCTCCCAGGATTTTGGGCACACATGCACACGTGCCTGGTGTGATTTTCAAGCTGTCAGCTGTGGGACTTGAACCAGGTGGGCCATGTGGGAGTCCACTATGCCACTTGCTGACCCTGATAAAGTTCTTCTTCTTCTTCTTCTTCTTTTTTTTAAGATAGATTTTTGCTATAGGGCACGTGAACTCACCAGAGAGACAGAAAGCAAGACAATACCCCACCTCACCCCGGGGAAATGGCCATGCCGCAATCCTTCTCCTCTTGGGATTTTGGGCAGACACACACACACACACCATGTGAGTTTTAAGCTGCTGGGTTTGGGACTTGAACCGTAGTCGACGACATGGGAGTCCAGCAATGTAATCATTACGCCATCTGCTGGTCCCGATAAGGGTCTTTCCAAAACGCCCTCCCTGACGGGTGATCCTGCCCGCAGTGCACGAGCGGTGGCATCCTGCGAGGAAGCGGGAACCAGAAGGTCGGTGCCATCGTTAATGCCATCGGGTACTACGTGGTGGGGCTCCCCATCGGGATTGCGCTGATGTTCGCGGCCAACCTTGGAGTGCTGGGTAAGCGCTGTCACAGGGGCCGGGGCCGGGGACGACAGCTCGTGGGGGCACACAGGGAGCCCACACCCAGTCTGCACCTCGTCTGGGAGCAGCGAGGGGTCGAGGGGTGGCTCTGAGGGAGCCTCGGCTATGGGGCTGCCCTCTTGCCCCTGCAGGTGGCCTTCCCCACGCACACACCTGAGCACAGGATGCTCTTTCTACCGTCTGCCCGTCCTGGCTCTTCGGGTTCTGGCTTCTGCAGAGGAGGCGACAGCGGCACTGCTAGGGAGCACTCGAGGCACGACTGCTCTCTTAGGGACAGTGTCAGCCCTTGTGTGACCTCAGGCTGTCCTGGAGTGGGCGTGGGAGGCGGGAGGCTGCCGGGTGCTTTTGCTGAGCAGCAGGAGAGACCTCACCCGGGGAAACATGGGTGAGTGACCCTGTGCTGTGCTCCCCTCAGAACCCCTCACTCCTCCTGCAGCCTCCACCTTCTGCCCACACTCCTCATGGTCTTCCCATAAAGGTAGGATGAGTGTGGAAAACATGCAGGGAAAGTGGGGGGCGGAGCACTGTCCCTCCCCTGCAAAGATTTTGCTCATTTAAACATTAAAAGAATTTTTGGAGAGGTTTTTGCTATAGGGCACATGCACTCACCAGAAAGACAGAGAGACGGAGAGACAGAAAGTGAAAAATCACCCCTCCCAGGGGGAGGGTGGCCACGTGGCAATCCCTTCTCCATTCTCCTCTCGGGATCTTGGGCACACATGCACACTCACGTGCCCAGCATGAGTTTAAGCCACCAGGTCCGAGACACGAACCGCGGTCAGCTACCTGAGAGTCCAGTGACATAGCCATTGTGCCAACTGCCAATTTATTTCTAACATGAGAAAGAAAGAGAGGCATCCACAACAGAGTCTTCGCAATCCATCTGTCTGCAGCCTGGCCAGCCAATCACAGGTATGCTCACCCTTCTGTGCAGGGAGGTCTCCTGACACGAGCCTAGGACCCTCCTCTGTGAGTGCAACTTAGCAGAGCCTTGTGCTACTGCACCACCCGCTGGCAGGGGACTTTTTTGTCACCCGATTACAGGCTTAGGATGATTCCATTTGGGATTTTTTGACCACAAGATGGTATGAGCTGCCATTTGTTTTGTTTTGTTTTTGTTTTGTTTTATTTATTGTCTTTTTACATTTGCAATAGGGCAGGTGCCTTCACTGGAGAGAGGGAGAGGGAGAGACAGGGGAAATGAGAAATCACTCCCCAGTGGGGAGGTCATGCTCCTCTCAGGATTTGGGGCATGCATACACACACACCCAGTGTGTTTTTTAGGCTACCAGGTGTGAGACTCAAACTGCGCAGTTGGCCATGTGGAATCCAGCTGCCTAACCACATGCCACCAGCTAGCTTCTGTTTTTTTTTTTAAACTTAAATGACTTTGGCTTAGGATAATAAGAATTGGGCTCAGCCTGGTAGTGCAGTGATAGCAAGCTAAACTGCGGTGCTGGAAACCACGTGGACGACCACAGTTCTGATCCCAGATCAGCTTGAAAACAGGCTGGAAGTGTCTGTGTGTGCACCGGAAGTGTCCACATGTGCCCAGGATCCTGAGGAACTAGGGAAAGAAAATCCCAGCATGTGATCCTATGGAGGGTGCTTCTCTCGTGCACACGCACACGCTTGCTCTCACACGTGCATGCACTACATGAATAAAATAAATACATTTTAAGCAATAACAATAAGGGTTGCCCTCTGTTTTTCACAGTGTTCAACACTTATTTGACTTAGTTAATACTTTATTATAAAATGGGCTTTGTGTGAGAGGATAATGCCCAACTGCAGGCTCACGGATGTGTTTGGAGCACACTCAGGTCGGCTTAGCCAAGCTGTGATGTTCGATAAGTGGACTAAGTGCATTTTCAACTTCAGATATTTTCAGTTTAACCATGAGTTTATCTAGGTCTAAATTGGAAAAAAGAACTTAATCCACAGGAGCTGAAATGATCAGAGATTTTTTTTTTAAAGTAGGGAAATCAATGACTTTGCAGCTTTGATTTCTAGAAGAAGAATTTGGAGCACGCTGGCAGTTAATAGGTGGCTGCATTAAGACCTGCACACTCTCTGGGGAGAAGCAGTGGCTGACTGAGGCTTGCTTTCCTTTCATCTGTCAGCAGTTGGTGGCTCAGGGCGAGAAGTCATCCGACACCCGACACCCAGAGAACTCCCAGTCCCATACAGTTCTGTGACATTGCTTGTTTCCCTTAAGTGCAATAATATTTTAATTAAAAATATGGGAGAGATTCCATTTCAAAGAATGGAATTGCCAAAGTTCACTGGGCTCGCAGAAAAGCTGTGTCTGGCATTTCTCAAGTTTCTGATTTGCCCATGCAGAGCTGATGAAATCATTAGAGAATCTATTTCTTTTTTGAGTAATATATTTTATTTAATACAGTTTGTCCAAAATATTGTCATTGAAATGTGTATTACATTTTGGGGGGGGAGATATTTGATCTTTTTGATTAATATTAGTTTTTACTGACAAACCATGGTTATAATCTCTATGTACGTGGTGGGACAATGTGATGTTTTGCTATATCTATGCAAGATGGGATGCTTAGATCAAGCTAATTAGTGTTCATTTCGCTATGGGGTGTGTGTGCTTGCCAGAAAGACAGAGACAGAGACAGAGAGAAAGCGAGAAATCATCCCCCAGGGGGGATGGCCACACTGCAATCCCTTCTCCATTCTCCTCTCAGGATCCTGGGCACGCACACACACACCCCCGGCGTGAGTTTAAGCCACTGGATCCGGGACTCGAACCGCGGTCAACTATGTGGGAGTTCAGTGACATAGCCATTACACTAACT